TTTGGCTACAGTCGGTAGTTCTGGTGTGTATAAACCACCATGCATGTCACTTCTGCATGCTGCATCTTACTCTGTGAGATAAAGTGTCACTCTTTTCACAGCTTTTGCCAGCTCTGAGACACTTTCACAGTCTTTCGCCTGCTCTTTTTCTAGCAAAAACTCACTCATTACTAAATGGAAGCTTAAAGTGAAGACCTGATTATTTCAGAGGCCTTTTCACAAGTAACATTGTTTTTGAATTTCTGTGTTACTTTGGCTATATTTTCACACTTAAAACAATAATTTGGTATTACTCTTGTACCATTGTCCTCTTTTATGCTAAGAAATAAGTCTCCTGACAGTTCTCTCTTAAGTGGTTTCATTGTTGTCAGTATTAAGTCCGAGTATGATTCAGTGGGCCATATAACACTTAATTATCAAGAAATTACTTACCTTTAACAGTTTTGGTTCAACATACTTACCTGTTGATCAATACTTGCCTTAACCTTACACCAGAATTTTTTTTAAAAAAATTTTTAATTTAGTAACTTTCAGGAGGGTGTACTCATTTTTGCAACACAACATTTTATCACTTTGATAAGAAAATTGTATTTTCTTGAATAATTTTAACATTCTTCTTTGGTAACTGATCAGGCAGACTTGCTGGAATATTATATCTCTATAAAAAACCATAACATGTCTTCTAAGCAAAGAGTAATTGCTGAATTTGTTAACTTTCAGAGGGGGTATACTCATTTATGCTGTGCACTGTAGATAGATAGATAGATAACCTGCCATTACCTGTCAGAACTGCTGAATTTAAATCCCTTGTGCTTTTAATTCTTTGTAATGTGTATGTGCTTTCTTGCTTTTATATATATAAAAGCAATAACAGCACTTTGGCCAACTAAGGTTGATTTTAAATGTGCTTTATAAATAAAACTGAACTGAATTGAATTAAAGTATTGCTTTAGGCAATACTATATATAACAGTGGGGAAGAGCGTACAAATGTGAAACATAAATAATGGCAAATGTGCAGAGGCAGATCCACTAATAGCTGCAAAATGAAAGCCATGCAATCATGGACAGGCACAGAGAGAGAATACCTGGTCAGGGCAACTTAATAAGCTCCTCAGCAGGTGAGATGAATGAAGCGCTGCACTCGAATTCAATACTGTCAGCGACATGGACAATGAATTCATTACACAACTCTAATACCAACAACAGAGCCCAGCTTTCAGGGCTAATTTGAACATTAAATGTAGCCTGCACTATGAACGCCATGTGCAGGAAAATGAAATGCAGAATAAGGGGCCATTCTCATATC